GTTAGGAATCTCTCAATGGACTCTCAATACATAATAATTCTATATTAATACCTATTTTAGTGCTTAATATTTATATCGATATTTACTTTAAGTCTATAATGTTTTCATCGCAACCTTTTTTTCGCCTGTCATATGTCACACACTGACAACCCATACCCAACACATTACTTGTGCTCATACATAGTATTTCTCAATGTTTTGCCACTTAATCTAGAAGTCCTAAAAATATTTGACAGATTCATAATTATTAAATGATTATGTCGTTTACTGAAAAACAGTTTTTCGGTATCATATTTATGTTGTGAGCGTTTAATATATGTCATAACAAGTACTGCAGATAGAGATAGAGTAACAGCAGCTCTCATTTTTTTTATTAATTAAATATTTTTATGTAAACTATTGAACACCAATATATATATATATATATATATATATATATATATAGTATATAAATGATGAATTATTAAATAAATGAAAAAAGATTAAAGAAATAATTAGGATGTACTATATTTATAATAGACATTATGTGTACATATTTGACATTACCTTAACATATATGGGATATATTTGTATTAAATAATAAGTATATTTACATGTTTGACAAACAGAAAGCTAGTTTATATTAATAAATAACATATATTCTCAATATATATTTTTCTCACATATTTTACATTATTAAATACAAGAATATTCTCCAGTGGATATATAATGTGTGTATGTAGTAGTGTATACTGTATTATATAAGTTTATGTTTGACAAGTTTTTTTGGTATTAAATATAAATTTTTTGACAAATATGCTTTATATTTTTATATATTTTACATTTTTTCATAATAATATTTTATGTTAAACTCAAAATTTGCTTTTTATGTCAAAATGATTTTAATACTACTGTATGTTCAGTGTAACACAACACACAACACAATACCACTTCTATATTTATATCTAATGTTCATAAAGTAAAGCTAATATCTATGACTTTTATATGATTCACAAGAGACACAAGTATTTACCTTTTGCTACACGTTTTACTTATATTTATATATACAGTGTATATACATATATATCATATAATATACAGTTTGTAATACAAGATATTAAAAGTTAAATAATGATTCGTCTAATAATTTAAAGTCACTTATAGTTTAGTTGAATACAAAAATTTTGTATTATCACATTAATGATGTCATGTAATGTATATTTTATATCATACATTACAAAATTTTTCTATATATTTCATATATGTAAATTTATAAAAATTCAGTTATCCCGGTACATATTCAATACTATTTTTTAATTTTTTTATATCGATATAATGATAAAATGCATTATTATGYTGTTTGTATCATATATATATACTGTATATAGTGTTATATATATCAAAATCAATTCAATTTTAATAAATTTCTATAAAATCATTATTTTTTGAATATTAACATCTATAACAGTGAACATCTATAAAAATGATCTTTTATTTAAATCAAATTATTTAGAGATTTAGAGAATATAAAAAATAATGATATTTTCACATAAAATTATTTTAATTTGTAAACTTAATGAAAATTATTTCATTAGTAATATATTATATTTTTTATTTTATAATTGCTATAATTAATAAAATTGCTATTAATTGTAAATTTTTATTAAATATTTTAACATAAATTAGGTAAATCTATTGGAAAATAAAACTAACATTGTGTAAAAATTTCATAAATTAAATTTTGCAATAATTTATTAAATTTAACAAAATAAATTTTTAAAATTATTTATCAGAGCAGCACTAAAATATTAAAAAGTTTCATTTAAAAATATTTAAAATAATGTTATTTTTAGACACCACATATTATATATAAATAGCAGTAATAAATGTGTTTTATAATCAATTCAATCGTTGAATATATGTTTGTCTAACATATTATCGCATCAATTGTTTTACTGAATACATGTAAAAATGTTTTTTGTTTATTTGCACAAAACAATCGATTGTATATTTTTTCATTTTTATATATGAATCCCATGGATATTATTGAATGTGTGTTTCCATTAAATATAAAACTCTCACACACTTTATAAAACTTAGTACACTATTTGTAATAAATTTTGTTTTTTTAGTGTGTTTTTCATGAAAAACATAAACATCATATATATATATATACTGTATATAATACCAATAAAACAGATTTCTTTGGATACAACAATTTTCTACTTATTATTATTTCAATATTTTTGTTGTTGTTTATAAAACATTAAAGACATAGTATGGGAGTGAGTAAAACAAATACGATAGACAAATGTGAAACCAAACCGATTGGGAATATGCATCTATTTTTTGTAGACCCTTTCCCTGGACAACGATAGATGTGTGTGTGTGAGAGAGAGAGAGAGAGAGAGAGAGAAATTGATAAGCATTGTTGAGAGAGTTTGCAAATATATTGACATGAATTTGTTTCTAAACTTGAAATATGTTTGCAAACAACACAACGACACACATAATAAACATACAGTGAATTTACTAAACGTAGTGAGAAAAATATATCGGTGCCGTTAGCCGATGATAGCGCATGTGTTTTTGGATGCCTTTTTTAACTGTAAGGAACTCCAGATGCCAGTCGGCAATAACTGGTACACAACATAGGTTTGTCAGATCTCTAACAGTACTCTTACCAGTGCTCGGCCTCACTTCGATCGTACACTACTTTCTCGGGTTATATAACTTTTGTTGAACAGTCAAACAACAGAAAGCTTCTCATATATGTATAGATAGTCTAATGTGTCTATATATCTGTGACAGTGTTTATCAGTGCTCTACCGATGATATTGCTAGACCAAAGTCACTGTCTATTTTACACACAACTACATACCAGTGCTGTAAATTAAAAAATACAGTTTATATGCGAACCAATTAGAAACAGTCAACCGTTTTGTTTGGTATTGTTTTTTCTGTTCAACACTTTGTCTTTCGTGAGACAATTTTTGTTTGTTGCATATCTATAGCCAAAAGTGTATGTGTTTTTAAGTGGTGTGACCTAACAACTCTCTCTCTCTCTCTCTCTCTCTCTCTCTCTCTCTCTCTCTCTCTCTCTACGGGTAAACAAACCGTATAAATACTATAACACATCGACAGATAAAAATATATACTGTATATGAGTTATCCATTACACGAATTGCGTGTAAACTTTTTTTWAATACTTATCTCTATTTCTAACTGTGTTTTTTCRTGTAAAATACTTGTTTGTAGTCTATAGTGACTATACATAGTATCATCCGATAGAGATTGAAGTACAGTMAGTATATGTTTCAACAAATTGAAAGAAAAAATCTATGCGAATATTTATTATATATATTGACTCCAAATTTATTTTTTTTATAGTTTTCAATTTATTTCTTTTTACACCAAAAAGCTTATTGATATAAATATATTTGTGACAAAACTCATGAGAAACATAAAAAATAAAAATTGGTTGATCTCTTCTACTTGTGTTTGAGGTTTTTTTTAATAAAAGCAATTCAATTGAAATAATAATAATAATAATAACTTTTAGTATTGATACTATATATATATCATTACTCACTCACTCACTCACTCACCCACTCATTCAACTGTTCATTTCCCTAACGGTTTGATTGATTGCAATCAATATGAAACACTTATTATTATTATTTGTGGCCAACACTCCAATTATTAGTGTTTTGTTGCTTATACTTGGTTTTCAAGTAGATATTGTTTCAAATTATAGTAAATCCGGTACTAATCATCACAATAGTAATACTCATCGAAATAGTAATAATCACACGACAAACACACGTAAGACTCGAAAAAAATTGTAACTTATTTTTTATATTAACTAAAATATATAACTAATTTTTATAGTTTATTATTGTTGTTATTATTATTATTATTGATTACATTAAACAATATAAAAACTTATAGTTTATTATCCAACTGTGAGTTTTTAAGACAACTACTGTACATTTGTTTTTATTTTTGTTATATCCTATAATAGATGTCTTAATTTGCTATTTGACAGTACTTAGTTTAGTAAAGTAATCAAAAATTAATTTATAAAAAATTACTAAACTTAACATTTATGGTCAAACATTTAGCTCTTTATTTTTTAAGACTTCCGCACTGGTATTATATGACTATTGACTTTCCTTTACATAGACACATATTAAATGCATTTTTTCATTAACACTAAATTAACTTCTCGTTTTATATACAGTATATTTATTATACAAAAATTATTGCCATAATTTTATGTTTAATTATTATTAACTTTATATGTGCACAAAAATTTATATAATAAATATGTTTAGATTATATCTGAATTTATAGGTTTATATAAATACCAGTGTTGTAGTAGTGGTTCTCATACTCTCTCTCCTAAAAATTATTATAATTACTGATGACTTACAATATTATTAATTACTTTGTCAACGGCTGATAGACTCATAGCGCGCGTGAAATACTTTTTAAGCATTACATAAATTAAATTTATATATAATATTAGATAATATTAGATGATATCATATTATTGAGTTATTATAACATTAGTGAGTATATCACTGATGTTTGGCGTTTGACTTCAAAATTGGTAACACTTTAGCTGAATGTTAATGTTATGGCAGATGTTTGCACTTGTATTGAGAACTATTGTACAGAATAATGCTTTAATATATATATAAATTATATATTATTTTTATAAAAGTTAATAATTTTTATATCTCTATCTATTTATATATATTTTCCTTTAATTATAGTCATTCTATGGACATTAGATTTATTGAGCAATTATTTTAAATGATAATTGATTTTCTCTCTCTTTTTCAACAATTTTTGATATTTTTATTATCATTACTACTTTTATTAGTATTATTAGTGTTTTTATATATAAACTTAATATCGTAATGATATTTAATTTAATAATTTAATAATAATCCAATTTTCTCTCTCTCTCTCTCTTCTTTCTCTTGATCATCCATTTTCCCAAAATAAAACAGCCATTCCTTGTGACCACACGTTTGATAGTCGAGTGTCGAAGAACGGCACGTTCACATCGCCTAACTTTCCCGATCCATATCCAGCCAACGTTCACTGCAGCTATCATTTCAATGGTCAGGGAAAGGAAAGGATTCAGATCCTGTTCACCGACTTTGATCTCTATCGACCCGACGACACCAGTCGAGAGTAAGTCCATTAGCGTTGCACTCAATGTTTATATAATACTTTTATATCAGAAATATAATATATAATAAACTTTCTTATATACAAAAAATTCTTATTATTTGCATCTATTTATTTGTATAGAAAAGTTTTATATATAGATATAGTATTATATATGTATATTTCTAAACTTACTATTCATATATTGACCCAACAGTTTTAATGTGCATTTAATGCAATCTAACATTTGCTATAATATTTCACTGGATTGTAGTAATAATATTATGCTTATAGTAGAGAGTATACAAAATTGAAATCTAATACTACATATGTATAATCTGTTTCTCAAAATACAGTAATATGTTTTTTATGTTGAAACTGTTTTTCTTAATATTATTTTAGTTTTATGTTTTATGGTAGTACTATATATTATACAGCTATAAAAATGTTTTTAATAAGCTCAYAAAAAAATATTGATAAAAATTTTTGAATTCATATAAGATATATAGAATATAATATTATTGATTTAATTATATAATGTAAGCGATATGTTAGATAATTAATAGTATTATGTTTTTGTTGTAATGTTTCACATGGATTACACGGCATAAACGTAAAGTGTTTAATAGAAAATATCAAGAAAAATATATCCATTTTAATACAAATATATGATCTGCAAATTTTGATAAATTATAGTGGATTACTATTGCTAAACCCTATTATGTCAAATATAATTAATGGATACAAAAATTTAAATTTATTTTACCAATACTTGTTTAATAGGGATATAAGGTGTATATAGTATATTACAGTAATATATATTTTTATAATGAAAAGTTATTTTACACAAATTTATAATAATTTATTTTTTATTTATTCATTAATAGTAACATAAGTTTAAAATATTGTGACATTTTAATATAAATGTTGTTTTTTTATTTTGAGTTTGATTTTTACAGGTCTCTAATGATTTGTACAACAAATTGAGATTTTCTCTAATATACAGTATATTATATATGTTATTCACTGTAAAAGTCTCTTTATATTCAATATTAAGGCTTTAAATTGAGTTTTAACACTAAATGAATGAATTAATAAATTACATTTTCATTTAATTATTAAAATTGAATATAAACATATATTATAATTATTACATACTTTATAAATTAATGTTATTGTATATTATTTATGTATATAATTTAGATTATTATAGTTTTATACATAAAATATTTCAAAAGCATTAATATATATATAAGTTGAACAAAGAAAACTATTAATAACTGGAAAAAATGTTTTGACAATATCTATATTTTTATTTAGTATTGTTTGATAAGAAAAACAGTAGAAAATTTGAAATATTTTTATATATTCTTTTCTTTTATTGTATTGAATTCAATAATAATAATAATTGTTTAAACACTGAAAAAGTAAGATATGAAAAAAACTTAAGAAAAGACATTATTTTTTGGAAAAGACAATATTATATATAAAAAAATAAAAATAATAATAAAGAGATAATCAAAAGCATATTATTGGTTACAACTGTAAAGTACAACATATATATACAGTATATATAATAATGAATATATAGAAAAAGCCATTAAAACCGTTACAATAATTTGCATACGAGTTACTCGTCTTTATAGATATACTGTATATCTATTAAACATTTATACAATTTATTTTTATTTTATATTATTATTATATGATGTAGTCCTTAACCATCGGTAATGGTTGTATCGAAATGTTCATTGAAAATATTATTATTCTTATTTATACATATACTTATACTAACATAACTATAAACAGCTAAATATATAAATTTTGTATAATATATATATATATTATAAATTATATTCAAGAATATTTTGTTCACATTTTACGAGGAAATGTATATATAGTTTAATGTTTTTTATGTCCTAAAAGAAGTATACATAATATTTAATATAATTTTTTATATTGTATTTAATATTATATAAAAGTAAAAAAAAGTATATTTAACATAATATACCTACAGTATAATAGTATATCATGCAAATTGTTTTGTGTTTTGTTATAAATTATAAAATACATAATGTTTTACAACAACAAAGAATTTTACACTAAATTACAAAATATTTTATTATATAAAATTACATTAAWGTTAGATAATGAAAACGAATATATGATACTTAAATTAAATTAAAAGCAATTTTAGTAATAATAATAATAATAATAATATAATTATTATTTATTTAATATTATAGTTGCGATGCGGCCGACACTGTAATGGTATTCATCACAATCAATGGCCAGAAGGAACGGGTGGACAACTTTTGCGGCAGTGATTTGCCGCCTCAGCTCATGTCTAACGGCCCGTCCCTTAATGTCGAGTTCAAGAGTTTACAGACAACAGAGTATGTGAAGGGCTTTCGAGCCGTATATCGATTCGTGACGAGTAAGTCCTTACTTTCCCTGTCATTAAATACCAGTTCCCTTATCTCTCATTCATACACACAAATTGCACTAAATTTTGTGCCAAACAAAATCTACTCTCAACTCATCGTTTAACTATTGTTGTGATACTAATATTTTTCTATAACAACATATGTATCTTATATGCCATTAACTATATATAATACATATATATATATATATATATACTGTATATATATATGATATAACGACTGYCTGTTTTTTCAATGTATGCAATTTTTGTCTATACTTTATTTGCTAAATATCCTCAAAAAATTATAGTCTAATTTATGAGTTCATAGCTTAGGCTTACCAGTACTTGATGTCGGATACTATTAAATGTGAATTAATATATACAGTATATTAAATATAWAGTTATAATATTATAGTTATACGAATTAATGTATAGTCATTAACTAAACTATCGACAATCAAACGCTATGTCTATAAATAATATTAGTTTAATGATACAAATGAATAATAATTAAGACATTTTCAGGGATGAGATAACTTCAATCATAATTTATGACTTTATATAGCTTTTTCTCTTATCAATAATGTTTATATTGTATTATATAATTATAAATGAAGATATATATGCCATTTCATATTAATACTATTTGTTTGGCAAAAAATAACATTCAATACAATATCTAAAAGATAATACAATATAATAACTAATATTAATATTATATTATAAAATAATATATAGCTACATTTTCATCTACTTTAACAAATACGTAACTATTTTAATAATAAACAAAATAAATAACAAATTTTATAAATTGGTTAAAATATGTTATTACTATTAATGCTATTATAATATAAAAATATATATAAATTACAGTTTACTATTATAAAGTTTATGATAGATACTTTATATATTATTAAAGTAAAATTACTTTAATATGCAATATTATACAAATTATCTAATATTGCGAAAACAATTGTAATGATAAAATACAACATGTAATCAAGCGATAAGAAAATGTCTAAAACATGTGAAGACAATTTTCATTGACTTTTGTTATGGCTGTCCATTATATGCGTGGAAAGGGCTCATCAAATAGGAAACTTCATTAGCGATCATTAATGTTGTTGTAAACGACTATTCCGTTTAGTTGGTGTTGTCGTATACAATGCCTATAAAATTATATAACTTTTAAACTGAGATACCTATGGTTTTAGAGATATGGATATAAAATAGTAGTCTATTGTATGTAATAGAGTTGCGAACAAACATTATTGACAACAGAGACACAACAGTCCTTCCTTTTTAACGTTTAGTTCCCCACATCTCTGACCACAACACTAACACATTGGACACCGGCTGTACATTTGGTGTGYCTCTTATCAGTTTCACTATAAGTGCAGTTATATATAYAATATATTAGTTAAAGACAAAAACAATTTACTGTAAATATCTAGACATTAGTGAGTGAGTGAGTGAGGACACACACACACACACACACACGGAGAGAGAGAGAGAGAGAGAGAGAGAGAGCAATACATGAGATTTCTGTCGGTTTAATCTCTTACGCCTGGGAAGAGAACAGGCATTTAGGTGTAATCACGCACCGGTGCCTGACTTGAGTCATGTAATCACTTGTAAGCACACAAAATGCTATTATCACTTAAGAAATATAAATTATAAGAAATTATTGTTTTAGATATATACTGTCTATACTGTCTATACTGTATATGTTGTTATATATATATTATGTGATATATACAGTATATAAATAACTAAAATATATTATATATAACTGCAATAATTATAATTCAATAAAATCTAATAAAGTTATTTTAATTATCTTTTATATAGATTATAATACTTTGGATTATTATCTAATAAAGAATTRTTGCAATAATTGATTTTGAAATTAATCTAAAATAAACTATTATAATATGTTACTCGAGATTATTATTTTTATTAAGTGGGTCATCATATAAAATAATAATTATTTAATTTTATAGAATATTTACTAAATGATAGTCACAAAAAATAATAATAAATATTTAACTTAAGAATATTCTTGACTAAATAATAAATTCAAAATATACAATATTTGTAGCTATTTGTAGCTAAAAAGCTATTTATTATTCAATCATTTTATTACCATTCAATATGAATGCATTAATCTTATTTTTTATGAATACACTTATAATCWAATGTTGATATTCAATGTGCCGATTGATTTCAATGGCAATGTTTGTACAGAACTTGGTATTGCCTATCAATGGTCTACCCTATCATTAGTGACACGGAAAATGGTTGTATAATAGCCTAAGTCATCATTGGGTGGCCTCACTCTCATTGCTATCATTTTCTCTGTTTTTTCTTAATAATAGATAAACTGTTATCTCCTAAATACCAACACTACAAGTACTGTATTTTCTCACAACTTTGTTCTCTCTCTCTCTCTCTCTCTCTCTCTCTCTCTCTCTCTCTCTCTCTCTCTCTCTGAAATCAAATGATATAATAAAATTCTGTTTTTTTCTTTTAACGAATGCAATGCAATTTCAATGAATTGACCGATCATTAGTTGGTTATTAAACAACTATTTTTTTGTGGTTGTAAAGCCATAAAAGCTAAATGTTTTTTATAAAACACATTAACACTGATTATTCAGATTATATTATTTATTGAATAAAAACAAATATAATACAATCTGTATTATCAGTTACTTTATTGTAAACATCATAATTAGTAGACATTTACATGGGCTATTTATGCAAAATTTATTGGTTTCATATAATTATAAAACAATTACATTTTCTATTGAATAATTCTATAATTGCATACAATATAAACTGTAGAATATATCATATAATTGCAACAATTATATAGTATAAAGTAATTTAGCAAAACATTTAATTGATATATTATACAGTAGATTTGGTGTAGCATTATGTATACAGTATWAACAATCAATACATTGCATAATATAATAGGTTATAATAGTGACAAAAGAGTTTATTAGATGTGAAATCTTAAAATTACAAAAACCATTAACAAGTTTTTTTTGTGGATACAAATCTGTTAAAATTATTGGTAACTGATTGATAAATGAATTCATTTTGTATTAATTTGATTATACAGTAGAAAATGTGTTAAATATTTAGTTTTTCTCGCATTATGTTTAACTCTTAGTTTCTTATGTTATAAGTGTTGACACAAATAAGATTAATTGGTTTCATGTATTCAATAGATTTCCTAATTAAATAAATTTATATATATCAGCAAATTTGCATTAGTTTTTGCGTATAACACTTTCTTCTTAAATAATAATCTAATCTTAATTTATGACTTTTTTTCTTAAACACACAAAATTCATTGAATATTATATTTTTAATAACTTTTTTCTAATACACTTTAATACAGTACAATACGGTATGTCTATACCATTGGGTGATAATACTGTAGTTATATATATTATAATCACATTAAAGACTAGACTTAACTATACAACAGTTGGGTTTTGTATTTTGTTTTTATATTATAGTATTGTTTTATACATTATATATATATTTAGAGGCTTTTCATTTCTTATACAATACTATACTATCAATATATAAAGTATAAGAATAAAACTAAGAGTTTAATTAATCATCGTTTGCATACTATTAGTGCTTATATTAAACAAACTAATCTTACTTTATAATGGATTTGCATTAAATATATCACTTTCAATCAATTTACAAATGTATTAGTAATGTTGGATAACAGTCTTTAGTATTGTTTTTTGCAGATTTAAAAATAAATAATACACCAAAAAATAATCAATATATTGGCAAAACTGTACTTTTATTTTTACACACAATAATAGTATAGTTTTGTTGTTGAAAATGTATTTTGATATATACGATATTTTTATATATTTATGTGAAATATATGATATATTTATTCAATGAGTAGAGATTATCCTATAGTTTTTGCGCTTAACTACTGTATTAAATTACACTATAAAGACAATATGTTATAAGTCATAAASAGTAAAAAAATTTGAATGAATGGCAAGGATTTTGAAAATAATATTTACTTCAAAAAAAATATTTTACAAAATATGAGTGTATAATAAAATTTTAATCTTATTATTTTTGGTATAATAAAAATAATACTCTTTAAGCAGTTTTCTAGATATTAAAAAATTATTAAATTTTCAATAATAATTTAGTGCATTTAATTTTTATAGTATAAAATACTTAGTTTATTCAACAAAAATCTTAGTAAATATAAAAAATATGTTAAATAAATGAATAAAATGACAAACACATAAAAAACGGAATAAAAAATATTTTTAAATAGTGATAATTTTTTACAAATTTTTATTTAATTACATTTTAACTGCATTAAAATTGCATAAATATCAATCATTATACTGTATTATACAAATATTAAAGTTTGATGTTTTCATATTGTATAATATTAGAAATATTTTGCATAAATTAACATTTAATTATATTTTTWAAAAATTATTTAAAAAATTATTTTACAACATATCTTTTGCTTTCAATTTATAAAAAATTATTTAAAAAATTATTTTACAACATATCTTTTGCTTTCAATTTATAAAAAATTATTTAAAAAATTATTTTACAACATATCTTTTGCTTTCAATTTATAAAAATTTATATTATACGAAATATCATTAAAAAATATTTTATTTATATTTTGAATTGTTTTCATATTGTGGTCACAATAAAATTACTTATTTATCAACAATTATTGCTTTTAAGATATTATACGATTGCAAAAAAAATATTTGTAATTTAATAATAACCTGAATTTTACAAACATTTTTAGGTAATTTACTTCAAGTTTATGTTATTATATTTTATACTATAATATACAGTATTTATTAATGTTTTATGTTTTTWTARCATAGTTATAGTGATTCTATATTGTGTTTGTGCCATATATTTATGATAACTAATAAAT